ACCTATATTCAAATTGTCAGAACGTTAAGTATTGTAAACTACAGCATTCAATCTACGACTTTTAACAATTTTACCACAACGAATTTTTCTTTCACTTACAAAAATCACCAGTTGCCCCTGTAGAACGATCGATTCCATCCACATCATCACATACAGCCGCAATCATGTCTGTTACAAAATTTGAAAACCACACATGTCAATTATGATGAATACTGCATAAATTAAGCTTTCTATTTGTGATAACATCTCATACATACCCATTCAATTGCTTATTCTTCTTATGCTCCACAAATTTGAAATTTTTCAAAGGATACTTTCCTAGAGATCCACAGGATTCAACCCAAATGCGTTTCTTATTATAAAAATCTAATATTTTAATCTGCATTAAAATAGAAGTTAGATCCAAAAAAATTATGCATTATAATTTACATAATGTCCTTTTCTTATTATAAAAATCTAATATTTTAATCTGCATTAAAATAGAAGTTATGATCCAAAAAAATTATGCATTATAATTTACATAATGTCCTTTCATACATACATACATACCAATCTCTTAGCATCCTTCACTCTCTGTTTAGCTGCTTCAGTTGTAAACATACTATCATATATTGTTGCAACACGATCTACCATATCCAACACCAACAGATACCAATGTGAATTATGGTAGTTTATTGTGATCATGATCTGCAACAAATTTCACACCCAATTTGACAAAATTCAACATTCTATATCCGAAAACATCATTTGCAATTGGTATGGTGTCTTACCTTCTCACAGTCGGTGAATTTCACATAGTTATTCAGTATGGGACCCCAGAAGGTACCAATACTCTCAACACTTTCTTTGCTGTTGGCATCCAACGCCTGCTGCTGCAATTACGCAACAAACATTATTAATTTATCGTCTATAACACTACTTATCTCCATTTATTAATTAACTCACGCTAAGTGGTATGGAAGGTAGCCAATCCTCCTGAGTGACTTCTGAGAATCGTAGCATACTGTCCAGGCGAGCAATCAATAACCTAACAAAATTAATTACACAATCATAACATATTCAATAAGTTTTAACATTTTCTACTTTATACTTACCACACGCCAACCCATTTCGTAGGCTTCAACGTTGCAACGTCGTATACACTAGCGAATTGATTTCCTATTGAGATTACAAAATATCTGTATGAATCATTAGGATTAATATGTTGTCATGAAATATTTAAATATAACTCACAAACCAATATATTTCACTTACTCCGATTCTAACTCACTATTCCATAAATAATTACAAATTGCAGCTTCGATGTCATCAATTCCTTGGAATATCGCTTTTTCAACCTACAATTTTGCATACAATTTTGTCACAACAACATAATAAAAATCAAATTAAGTTTTTTTTATTCAACTTACTTTCTGCTTCTTCTTCTGGGGTACAGGACATTCCGAATCCAAATCTGCTGCTATAACACTCTCCGTGTATAAATAACATCGACTTCCTTCCTCCTCCCCATTTCTTCCATCTCTTCTTCTTCCTCCTCCCTCTTTTTCTTCTTCATATTTCTTTCACAACTTCACCCCTCAAACCTCTATCTTTCACCACTCCATTTTTTCCTTCCGCTACCCCCTTATGCCTCTCAAGGTATCTTCGACTCTCTCAAGTTTCTCTTCGACTCTATCAAGTTTCTCTTCGACTCTTGATGTCTTTGCATGATATCAATTGGATTTTTTTGATATCAGCCAATTCAGACATCAAAATGTCGAAGTTACTACGTTTTCCCTCACCGTCGTCCCACTCACCGTCATCCCCCAATACAACCATCTCTCCTTTATTCTCCTCTGCCTCCGCTGCCTCCTCTACATCCTTGCCAATAACCTTCAAAATTAAATTCAATATTAAGACATTGATTATATTTTAATATTATTTAATTACATTTATTACCCTTTCTTGCTTCTTCGCTCTATCCAACTTCAACTTCACCATCACTCTAACCACCTCTTCCTTCCCTCATGCACGGATGTGTGCCACTCCGTTTCTTTCATAAGCCGACACTGCCTCACAGCCCGACCAAAAATCGAACAGTGCAACCTGCATTTATAATAAAATTTATATTTTTATATAAAAACACAAAAAAGTTCTTCAACTCATTTACCTCTAAGATGCTATGCACCTTTGAGGTATCTCTGGTTGCCTTTTTAAAGGTGATTATTGATTCAATCAATCTCGAATGGATATATTCAGCCCAATTGAATTCACCCTTCAAGCCTTCATCGCAATGAGCTTCATATGTTCCTTGTTCGTGACGTATTACCCGTTGGACAAAGAAAGATACCGACAAGGTATAATAGAACTCTGGCCTTCAGCTCATCCCCAACGTAAGATCCACTTTTTATTTCCTCTTCAATTTCAGCATATGTCACCTTCTGCTTCAAACCATATTTGGAGGCAAGTGCTTTCCAGTCCTTACTCTTACAGACTTCTACAACACTTTTGCCTTCATTTTCTACCCCCAATACGGTTGCAGCACATGGGATCCCGAGAGGAAATGAAAAATCACCATACTTAGCAATACATTGTCTGACATCAAATTGCGCCATCAAGGATCGACACAATTCCCTCCGAATAGGTCGATCCCTTACTCTACCAACGATCCAAAACCTATTCTCCCAGCACATTCAATTGACCATTCTCCTAAGGTGTTTAATTAATGAATTCACCCTTTTAATGCTGCATCTTGTCGACACTTCCTACATTTTTTAACAATATATAATGTTATAGTTCTTTATATATTTGTATCAACGTATTTACAAGTTTAATGAATACCTTATTTCATGTTCTTTCCTCCGTTCTTTGTATTCTTTACTATCATTCCTTGACTGTGTGATGTAAGGTTCCTTTTCAGCATCACTCATTGAATTCCATTTGGACCTCACATCTTTTGTCACCTAATATTAAACATAAACGTTTCTTAATCAATACATAACACTAAATACTACTCAATGTCAATTTCATTTACATACCGAACCGCTCTGTGTGCCATCTTCCTTCATCCTTTTGCATTCGGCCATACTGTCAACATTTAAAATTTGTAATCAATTTAAAGTTTATCCATACTTTAATCCAATTACCATTTCAACAATAATAACAAAAAGACATTGATACTTACTAGAAGTACAATCCAACCCTTTGGTTGCTTTCGAGTCTCGGCCTCAATTTCAAAGTCATCTGCTCCACCAACAATTTTCCAACCCATTGACTCCATTTTTTCTTCATATATCAGTTTACGCAAATCAAATTATTTTGTTACATACACTTTATTTAATATACAAATATAGATAACTACTCTTGTGGTAAAACGGTTTTCTTCAAAAGAATTTGAATGGCCACACCAAAATGTGTCGGCACATTTATACAACCTATAATATCATTTTCTACCCTATATATTTAATTAAAGTATCGACATTTATATTTTTCCTTGAATATCACTTTCTACCTGCAATCGGTCCCAAATGTATCTTTACTCCAAAACCCAAACAACACATAAAAACCTATCGCGATTACTGTAATAATAAAAAATTAGGGTTTCGACAACATACTTTTCGATTCGACTGCAGCAACAAACAAACAAACTTCGCTTTAGAAACGCCTTCTGAAATACAGCAACAATTACGCTTCGATTTCAAAAACTCGTCCGTTCTATCTATTTTCAGAGGATATTTAGCTATGACCTTTATATTTCACATCGGATATGTTATTTATATTTAATCGATACAAATACAAAAGTGTCGATACTTTTATGTCAGGTGTCGATACTTTCGAAAGGATAATTACCTATTTCTTTGAAAGTGTCGATAATTTATTACACGTACTTACGAAAGTATCGACACTTTCAATATATCCGGTATCATTTTACCGGTTTTATCATTTTGATACAGGTTTTATCATATTTTTACCTGTTATATCGTTGTGGATCGATATATTTTTTTAAAGTATCGACACATTATAGGCGCTAAAACTGCTTCTCTTTTAAATTCACAAAGTGTCGATCCTTATATAAAGTATCGACACTTTCAATATATCCGGTAACGTTTTACCGGTTTTATCATTTTGTTACCGGTTTTATCATATTTTTACCTGGTATATCGTTTTGGATCGATACATTTTTTTAAAAGTATCGACACTTTATAGGATTTAAAACTGCTTCTCTTTTAAATTCACGAAGTGTCGATCCTTATATTAAAGTACCGATACTTTAAATGTATCCGGTAGCGCTTTACCGGTTTTATCATTTCAATACCGGTTTTGTCATAGTTTTACCTGTTATATCGTTTTGGATCGACACATTTTTAATTTAGATCGACACGAACCGACAAGTTAAGTTTGCCGGTTGCATAATTTTTTAATATTTCTTCATGACTTAGACCTACTACATTATTATTATTAGTCAACATTTCCGGTAGCGCTAAACCAAATTTATTAAATATCTTTTAATGTATCTGGTAACGCCGTATATTAATCCGCCTTTCCTGAGACAATCCTAGCTTATTATAGCTTTGGTTTAACAAAAGGCACCGATTTCTGGAACACCAGCAAAATCACAATTCCAACTTGTTTTCTTATTTTTCTTTTAAATTTCGGGGTTTTCTTAGTGCATAAGCCATTAAAAAAGTCAAAATAACTGTAAACTATCATTTTCATTGTAATGGAGACTGAAAAACATTGGTTTCATCTATTGTTATATTTTCTTCCTAGTTGTTGATCCACCAACCGACACCAACAAAATCACATTAATTAATTAAATTCCGCCATGGTTTTTGTTGCTAAAAGCATTAGAATTTGTGTTACAGAAATCCGATTGGAAGGCCTTAACTTCTATATCGTTTGGACTCTCCATGTTTCACGAAGTACCTTTATCTAAAACTCGAGTCTGACACTTGAATAAGGAGATATGATTTCTAAGAATTTGAAATATATGGTTTTTTTTTTAAATCAAACCGTATACGTGTCGAGATACTTCCTCGTGTGCATGAGTAGTATAGCATTGATAAAACATGTTACAACCAGTAGAACAGTGGAGGTACGTTCTCATTATTCAGTGCTTAATCAGCACTACCAAATACCAAGAGGAAACTAGAGGCGACCTTGTCAACGTTCTTTGAAATGATGCAACTTAACATATTACAACTTCAAACAAGAAAAGGAACTAAAAAACCATTTGCAAGAAACTAGCAATCTCATGCGCACACCTCGGTCATATTACCTTCAGTTTCCCTAATCCTGCATGAGAACCACAAGAATTACCTAACATTAGCATAGCTCCAGCAGTCAACCATAAAACAACGGTGACATCCAATAGGAACTAGGAAGGGCGAAAAAATGAAGGATATCATGGTACATGAGATGTTTCAGGATTTGTACTTACAGTGATAGATGCAATTACCATAGCCTGCACAAATAAATTAAATAGATGAGCATTTCCGGGAAAGCAAGATCCTTCCATATAGGAATACTAAATGACAGTTGACACCATCAACATTGGAAAGAGTTCAGCTAAAACAGTAGACTTACTGGGATCTTTGTCAACTTTGATGGCATTTCCGTGGAAACTGCAGGAAACATCGGTAGCCCCATTTTTCTGGTAGTAATTGTTGAATGCAAAAGAGGCATGAGAAAGTAGAGTATTTGGCTCAAAACACTGCTGGTTAGGCTGAATTGAAGAACAGTCAGCTTTTCCAGGACCACAAGCCCAATCTAATGCAGTCTGTAAGTTCGTTTGAGAAGCCTGCCTAGAAGCAACACACCAAGTTCTACCATTTGGATCGCTACTTTTTACTGTGAAAGAATATCGGTTTATTTCATGAAATCAGATATAAAAATAAATACTGTTATGGTATATGAGATGAGATGTTCCATAACCTGATGTACTTACCGTTATAGATGCAATTACCATGGCCTGCACAAATAATAAAAAGGGATGATGGAAAGCTTTTAGACCTTGAAAAATCATGTAATTAGACTCTGCATAAAGTAATTGACTTACTAGGGTCACTATAAACTTTGATCCCAGTTCCTCCAAAACTGCATGCTTCATCAGTGAGTCCCTTTTTCTGGTAGTAATTGTTGAATGCAAATGAGGCGTGTGAAACAAGATCATTTGGTTCGAAACATTGCCCACCACCAGGCTGAAGGGCGGAACAATCCGCTTTTCCAGGACCACAAACCCAATCTAATGCCTTCTGTAAATCCGATTTTGGAGCCAGGGGAGAAGCAATGCACCAGCTTCTCCCACTTGGAGTTGGATTGGTTCCTTTTCCAGGGAACTCCAGGTTATATACAGGCGTCATGTCCGGATTAAATATACCCCAGTATCCCTCTATTTCTGATCCGTCCTTCTGGTTCTCATTAAACAAGGAGAAAATGTACACATCTACCTCTACATTAGGCCTAGCAGGTGTACCAGACATAACATGAACTTCACCAGGCATGGCAGTTGTACGAGAAACAGAGGTAACATGCTGAATCAAGTTCTTATTATAAGTCATGGCATTATCAATAGTAGAATACTTATCTCCTGGTGGACCTCTCGTACGATAGCCTGTTTCTTTAACAATAATCTTCATGTCATTGTAGTTTTGATCGGCCAAGGAAAAATGAATAGCATCTAGTTGGGCGTCAGATACCTTCCTGGTTCTTCTGAATTGATTGAGGATGGCAAAATGCACGGCATCTAACTGAGCATCAAACATGTTGTCATAACGGAAACCATTCCGATCTACAAAGGCTCGGTCGGATGGCTCAAACAGAGCAAATTTCAAAGAGGAATCGTCCTTAACAGTAAAATAAGGATATATATTGACCATAAAAGGTGATCGGTTCTCATTCAGGAATTCCAACAAAGGGTCCAAGACAAATGCAAGGTTACTATTAAAAGCCCCTTCAGAAGGTGGGAATGAATTAGATAAAACCCCAAAGGAGAGTGCAGTTGAGACCTTGATACTATCTTGGAGGTTAGACTTTTTCAATGCTGAAACGACGTTTTTCATGGCAGTCACAACCAATTTGGCTGAGTCATCAGGGCTTTCGGTCACTTCGTTACCTACAGTTATGTAGGTGATCTTAGTAGCCGGGTAGAATGGGAGGATGCTATTTTTGAGCCAGGAATCTACGTATGGTTGGGACTGGAACGCCGGTAATTCCGAATTATGAACGCCCACCGTCAATTCAATGCCGGTGTTCTTAAATGAGTTCAACACTTGGGGATCGGTATCATAAATCCTGACGTATTGAATGTTGTGGTTTTGAACCAGTTGTGCTACTTTATCAGGTGATGGAAGATTATTAGCATCCCTTCCATAGTCAACTCCTACTTTGTTTCCCCTACTCAAATCTGCCCACGGAAATTAGCATAGAAATTCAGTAAACCTTTACGTATGGAAAAACACGAATTTAACATGTATTTTCCGCCGCAAAAAACATAATATTGCATATCTTATCTACAGGGACAAAAAAGTTTTAACAAGAAATTGGCTTATAATCTTCCCTTTTTTGCTTCCTACATAATCTCAGTCAAATACGGCGGTGTTAAGTCAGTATTGCAGAAAAAAAAACACACACACACAATGAAGATAAGAAAAGGAAGGGAAACATACCTAAAAGCTGAAGCAACACAGAAACTGCTAACAAAAGCTTCAAACTCGAACACATTTTTATAATATCTTGATAATTAATGCCGAAGAGTCTTCTCCTCTGCGTTACTCTTGCTGGCTCCAAAGTTGCTTCTTATAGAGAAAATTTTTGGCTCGTGGCCCTGTAAATTCATTTAAGGTACATTGACCAAAGACGAGTCAATTTGTCAATGTATTTTGAATATTTCATATATTAAATATTAGTACGTACATTGAGCCACTTGAGGTCTAGAACGCCTGTTTTACTTTTAACAGAAATTTTAACATACTGCAGGACCAAACGTGGAAACTTCCTAAGATGCGTTTAGTTGACGGAATCTTAAAGGACGTTTTTTTTCGGAATTGTATTCTCACATTTAGTTAACGAAATCTTACATTACCGAGAATACTCTTTTTTCAATAAAGGTATTTTTTTGTTAAAATTATGAGAATGTCATTCGCTCCAAATTCTTAGGTAATATTACATTCCCACTACTTTGGACAAGAATATTCATGGACTAATGAATTATTTTTATAATGATCCTTCTAAATTCTAATTTTTTATACTTTACTCAAAATTATAAAAATAAAATATACAAAGAGTTTGATTTACTAAAATATTAATAATTTTGAGAATTTAAAATATTTTATATTTTTAATATTCAATATTTCACTATTTATAATTTTATGGATGAAAAAAATAGTATTATTATAAAAATGTAATTATTTAAAATAATATTTTACTACCATAATATTATTTTTTTATATTATATTATATTTTATATAAATAAATATGATACTTATGAACATTATTTAAAAATATATATTTAATATACTAATTATATTAATTATATATTAAATGTAATTTCTCCTCAAAAGTTAGATATTATAACGATTAAAATATTTTTATGAATTTTCATTCAAATATTTATAAATTAATATTAAAGTTTAACTTTAAAAAAAATATATTACAATAATAATTTGATAAAATATGCATTCAAATAATCTTATATTCTTCTAACCAAACACCGTAATATTACATTCCTGCTAAATAAACCAAACAAATTAATACAATATTCTCATAGTAATGTTACATTCCATTAATGATATTCTCAAAGATAATCTTACATTCCGTGAATCAAACGAAGCTTAAAGTATTCCAAAAATAACCAATATGATATGTACATCTTTGATCAGCCAGCTAAGATTGTTCTGACTTCATAAAAAATCCTGAGTTCAAAACCTTAGAAATAAATATAATAATGTTAAATAATTGATGAATTTTGGATCGGTTTTAGACTACTGACTTTTCTTCTGAGGGGGCTGCACTTAATAACTGTACCGGAGCCAATAAAAACAAAATAGGTTTTCAACTTGCACACACAGGCATTACGACCTTTATAAAATTATCTGTCATTGATGAGTTTTTTAAAGCCTACAATTTCTTTTATTCGACTCTCTATTACAAGCATAAAAAACAAAATTAAAATCAATTTTTGAAAGTCGAAGGTGAAATTATTCCATAAGAATGATTTTATTATAATTTTTTTGATAAATTTTAAATCAAATCATAATCCTACCTAGAGATGAGGGGAAATGAGACTCTATGGAAGGAAGTAGAGTGCTCCTAGTAGGTTTAGAACCCATAACTTAAAGGGAAATGAGAAAATAAAGATAAACAACTTATCCAACAGATCAAATATGCTTACTCAATTATTTTATTAAGCTAAATTCGATGTTAAGAAAAGTGAGCATCAAAGCATGGGGTGTCGTCGGCAATATAATGAGTTAATATAACCATTTTTATGAAATAGATTTAGACTCAATTTCTAACCTTCCCTGACTCTTCCAAGTCAACACTTTGCAATTATTGCTCTATCTAATTGTGGGTACTGCAAATTGTGTACATGGTTTAAAGATTTTCCTGCTGAGGAACCTGTTAAAGACGACACTGCTCAAGTGAGCCAAGTCCCTATACAAACCAAGACTATCCTCATTCAGTGCCCCGATCTCTGATGTATGATGCTAAGAATTTATGCTTCCTCTTCACAAGAAAAATTAGTACTATATGAATTTATATACACCAAATAAACAGAACTACCATAAAAAATTAGGAGGCTAGAATCAGATAATAATAGTGAATTTCGTAATACCAACAGTAAAACTTGCATTAACAAATACATAAGAAATCGTTTTAAGAACAAATACAAACAAAGACTATCCTCGTGCATTAACAAATACATTTCGGGTTCGAGCAGTAACGTTTGCAATATATATATATATATATATATATATATATATTATCAGTGATTAAGAAATATTTTAAATATATTTTATCTTATAATCACCCAAATTATTAAAAAAGAATAACACAAGTTCTTCGTTAACATCTACAATGTAAAAACATATAGCCTAATTATCTGATGGGTCCTTGCTACAATGATTAGTATATTTCTGCTTAAGCTTCAAGTTCAAAGGAATTTGACTGCATTCATTCACTTGTAGATCTCTAATGGCAGTTTCAGTATCATCTTCAAAGTTGGGAAACTATTCAAATAGGAACTCGATCAACTATTTTGTCAAGTCCAATGCATAAAAGAACAAGATGAATTATCTATGTGAGTGATAGAAAGGAATTAAGATAATCAAATTTAAAAACGATAATGTCATATAAATGTATTTTCTTGAGAAGATGATAATAATTTTGTAATAAATGATAGTAAAATGATTGAATATTCGATTTTTTTATCAAAAGTTGGGTGTACAAATGTAATAGTGAACGGTGACGAATTCTTCACAAGATTGAAAAATTAAATTTAACTTGATGTACAAATGTAATAGTGGTATAAATTTTATTCATATACTTTTTAAATTTCAATTTCAATTTTAATAACATAGAAAAAATATAATTAAATTACATATATAATTTAAAATCATCAAAGTGAAGAATATGAATTAAATACGAAGAATACGAATCAAATGTAGAAATAACATATAAAATATGGATTAATGATTAAATTTAATTTAACAAATTTTATATATTATTTTAGATAATGATTAAAATTTTAAAAATATAAATACTAAAAGTAACCAAATTAAAGTACATGTCTAAAACAAGTTTATGCATTTATATATAATACAAATACTAATAATATATTTTTCTATGTTTTAATATATGAATTAATAAAAAAATTAATTTCATTTGATAAATTTTAACCATTCAATGACATAATTTGAAAGAAAAAAAGAGCATGTTTTGCTTATTACAAGGAGGTATTATTTTTACTTAAATTTTTATTTATCTTTCTAATATCAAATTTATATTTATATTGATTTTTCTCTATATTATAATAAACTGTTTTAAAATTCATATTATTACTATTATTATTTAATATTATTATTATTATTATTTTAAAGGCATTACTTGCATATTGAACGTAATATAATTATATTTATTTGATTTAAAGTAAGAAGTTTGATTTATAATTATATTTAATTAATTTATAAGTGAATTTCAATTTATAATTATTTTTTATTTTTTATATTTTAATTAATTGTTTGATATGAAAAAATCTAATACGGGAGTGTTTGAGTGAGCATGGTTAAATGAGTGAAACATTTCTTTGAATGTTTAACTTTTATAATTTCGTCATATTATTTTTTTAAAATCATAGAATTGAACTATATTTTTTCTATATGAGTTAATTTATATATAATAGAAATATTAATTTATATATCAATTTATAATGAAAGCTCAAATACTCGCTCACAATCATTGATGTTCGAACTTGAGACCTCTAGAAATAACAACCATCTCTTTAATAACTTGGTTCAAGCAACTAAGATGTAAGAATTGAATTCAAAGTTTATGCATAATACAAACAGTAGTAATAAAATGACTAATCTTTGGAAACAAGTAACATAGTTTTAACCTAAGGTGCCGTTTGGATGGGGAATGTGGGATTCCTCAGGAATAGAATCTACATTCCCCCGTTTGGTTGGTCGGGAATATCATTCAAGGTAATATTTTATTACCAATAGTTGATTTTTTATGATATATTATCGGGAATGTTATTACCTCCATTCTCTTAGGTATTATAACATTACTGACGTTTAGGACTAAAATACCCTTAAATTTTTTTTCTCTCAAAAATATAATTCCTGTCATTGAATAATAAAAATTCTACGAAGGTTAAATTACAAATTTATCCTTAAACTATTTTAGATTTACAAAAAAGTCTAACTAAAATTTTATATGAAGTTCAGGGATTAAAATAAAATTTTTTCCCTTTTATTAAATTTTTTTATATTTTTTATTTTGTAAAAAAATTATATAAATTTTATGAATTTAATTTTTTTAAAGAAAATATATAAATATTTTTTAACTTGTAATATTATACAAATATATAATAATGACAATTTGATCAAATATACATTCCAATAATCTTTTATTTCTTTAACCAGACATGATAATCTTACATTCCTGTTAAACTAACCAAACAAAAAATACAACATTCCCAGTAATTTTATTTACTGATAATCTTTTATCCCCACTAATAATCTTACATTCTGTGAACCAAATACATCTTAAATTTTAACAACGGTAGATCTCGGGGTATGAGATGCATAATATAATGGAACCGGATGTACATAGATCCAAATATCAAAGATAATTGGATCCATTGATGTCTTAACGGACCCGAGATAGTTTACTCGTCTTCCCACGCAACGTTGTAGCTCATCTCTTCAAACTCTTAATCCTGCTGAATGTCTCAATCTTTATAACACCAAATCCGAAGCACAACTTTCCAACAAAGCCAAATCCTGCAGACTCCATGAGACGATGCTCGCGTAGAAAATAAATAATATAATATAATTTTGCAAAATCGAAGCTAAAACTCGAATGCTCAATGGGGAACAAGATCGCTCGAACGACTCAAGTCTCGGCGACTGAGTTTTACCTGCACGACCTGCCGTCTACGTACAATTTGGTGCTGAAGGAGGTTCTCGGCCGGGGCCGATTCTTCAAGTCGATCCTGTGTAAGCACGACGAAGGGCTCGTCCTCGTTAAGGTCTACTTCAAACGAGGCGATTCCATCGATCTCCGTGAGTACGAGCGCCGTCTAGTTCACATCA